TTTTTAGTCGCTGCTCGACCATGGTGAGTTTCAAGCGCTGCAAGGTCACGGTTTAGCCAAGCGAGCCAAGTCTGGATTACGTATTCGACGTGTTAACGCATGTAGGCCTGGAGCATCATAGAAAAGATGAATGAATCCAAACTTTCGAATGCCATCCGCAAGCTAACAACATGCTGGTTACCACTGTTGGATTCCGACTGTCGGGAATAACCGAAGTCGTCCTGCACCAGCACACCGAGGTCGAGTTCCTGAGGGCTTGTCTGCAGGTCATATGCCCCAATAGTCTAGTGATAGGCGTGTCTATGGCGGATGTGAACAATGTGTCACTTGATCACATTTAATGGCGGTGAATTCCTCACCGGTCAATGCCAGGTCCCATCTAGGTCGCACATGGAGGGTCTTGTGGTCGTCCATTCCCTTGATCGCAGACCAACTTTTAACGTCATCCGGAAAAATAAAGTGATTGGGGGGATGGCTCTCGCAAGACCGTCGCACTCCACTCGAGTAGGGTCGGGCAGAGATGTTCGGACACTAACCTAGAACTGCTGTTCACGGAGAAAATTACCAACCCATCCTAATAATGCATCGCCTACGTTTTCCAAGTAGCCCGTCATTACGACAACGATGATCGCTTCCATGACTTTGGAAAGGGCGGAGAGAAGTGTTACCGGACGGTAATTGGTAGGATCAGACGGAGTTCTCTGAAAGAATCCGGCAAGCGGATGGGCTAGATGAATGGCTGCTGCCTGCATTGCTTTAGGGTGAAGGTTATCCAAGGATGGTAGCTTTCTCAGAACCATTTTTGCTATGAATTTGATGCTGGATAACACTGATGGTGTGGGGACAAAAGTAAGTATAACGTTTGAGGCTAGTATTCCTTCGAAAGTAGGCCAGTACTTGGCAATGAGGCGTTGTCCGTCTTTTTTGTTGTTGTGTGTATACCCACCAATCGTACTGAGTGGTGCGATTGCACGCTGCAACTTTTGAAGTGCATTCACGTGTTTGTAAATAAGGCTGTGGTTCGAACAGAATTGTTTTGCTAACTCCAGTCGGTGTGATAACTTGTTTTCACGAACCAACTGTACATATTAATTGCTCAAAGCTACGTACGCTATCTCATTCTCCGCAACAGGATTGCTTACGTGAAAGCGTCATGTGTTCCACCAAGGTCCTAAAGCTTCAAGTTTGGCTTCTCATGAATAATGTTGGTTTCATGGGATGGTGGAAGATGTTTGCTCCGAATGTGGACAGAACCAGGTAATGAGAAATACATTGCATTTTTTCGGGCTCTGCATCAAGGTATTCGGCGTAGCAAATGAAATCAAACCGTACAATTCTGTAATCGTAGTCTTTCGTTGTGTGTTTATAAAATGCTAGTTGGACATACTTGACTGAGTGCACCCTAGAGATAGTCTGGGAGAAATGGTTGAAAACCACGTCACTAGTCACCGAAGCATTGAAGCAAAAATCTTCCACCATCCCATGAAACCAACATTATTCATGAGAAGCCAAACATGAAGATTTATAGCCTTGGGGGAACACATTGCGCCTTCACATAAACAATCCTAGTTTTAGAACATGCCGCGGCGTCTGAATTTTGCCCTATCTTAGTCCACCTTGTGGATCAAGTTTGCGGTTCTGGGTGTTTCAGGGGCGCCAAGCGACCCCGCAAAATGTACTCACCACCGCCCGCGCGGCGTGCGACGGATTTCATGTCCCCAACACAGCAGATTCAGGGCGAGAGCAGCGGGTATGGAACCGTTCGTTTTTGCCCTCATATCTCGACGTAGTGAGTCTCTTTATAAGCAGATCGGCGTCCTGGTCTGTATCGCCTTTTCTTAGTCGTAACAGGCACTTTGCAAAGGTCTGTCTTCTTTCTCTCTTACGCGCGGGATTAGGGCGTTTTGTCATTGTGTATCAGTCAATTAGTCAACAGAACTTGGGCGTGTGCGGCTAATCGCAGCTAAGTTTTCGGTAGTTGTAGACTGTTCGTCCGTCTAACCTACGCGCGGGGCACATTTCGAGAGAGCAATTCACGCGTCGAGTAGCATTATGTACGAGCGAAGCTTGGAGCGCCGCGTCACGGAACTGAGCCTAACTGGCTACTGAAGACCAATCCAGAACAGGAGGCAACAAATCTATTACCGATTGACGGTGACGATATTACACTAGGAGCCCATATTTATTTTGTGTGTTAATATAGTTTCAAGGGAACCCTAGCATGCGGTAACGGAACTCAACCCTAGAGAATATTCGTCCGCAGATAAATAGATGTGAGAAGAATGCATGCGTAGGCAACATTTAAACGTTGGGCTGCTGAATGTCGCCCAGAAAGATCATCGCTCAAAGATGGACGACCTGTGAAGGTCGGAAGAAAACGTCACTGCTGTGGAGATGAAAATGAAATGTTTACAAACGACTGTTGGTGAAGTAGCTTATACAAGTCGAAGTGATTTGTCAAATGTCGTAAGAATTGTTCATGAGCAACTGAATATGTCAAAAGTGTGTGCACGATGCATGACGGGAATGTCGATATTGGAAATGAAGGAAAACCCTGTCCGATGTTTCAGAGAAAATATTGAACTCATGACTAAATTTGGGGAACAAGTTAAGCGGCGAGTAGTGACAGGATGTGAGACTTGGATCCGCCGTCACGTTCCTGAAACAGAGCAGCAACCCAACCAATGGAAGCGAAATCACGTGCACAATGGTCTATCATGCTCACGGGGTGCTTTTAATGGGTAAAGTGTCATACGAGACGACCATCGCCGGTGCCAATTATGCTGATTTAATCCAGCGATCGAGATGTAATAAAAACGCAGAGAAATGTGGTCAGCCGGTATCTTGATTCTGCATGATTCTGCATCACCACCTGGATCTAGCTGAAAACGCACTGACCGGTGTTGAATGAGCGGTGCCGCAAGTACATACGCTTGTTGTTGACGTTCTATGCTATCGATTTATGGTTTTTGCGACTCCTGCCGACTGTCAATGTCCACCGAAGTGACCTTGACAGATCGGCAGCAACATACAAAATGGTTTTGTTTAGAACACTTCATGTAGGTTCTGCCCCACGTTGGGCACTTCTGCTCCAGTGTGGTAAACTGGCTTCCTGTCCCTCCGATGACTGCAACAAACGTGCTCGGTCCCGGGATACTGCACAGACCTGTCGTTGGCTTGATTCCTAGCTGTTGGGCCGTTCTTGCCTCGCTAAGAAAGTTGTCGATGCATTGTTTTAAGGTAAGGTTTCTCTGGGGCAAAAGGCGGCTCGTCAGCTCTTCATTTCTTACGCCAACCACGATTCGATCACATGCAAGATAACCACACAAGCAACCGCGAAAATGGCGTCCGCGCCAGAATCTTCAGCTTGGTAAGGTAGACATCGAATGATTTACGAAACAAACGATTGCGATCAAAGAACAAACATCGTTCGTAAGTTACAGTTTATCGACCTTCACAGAAGTCACCAAAGCTGCGCACTATTTCATCAAACGCGACTTCCCGATCGCCATCAGGGAAGTAAAATGTTTCCAATACCATCCCCCGGTTAATTACAAATGGCGTGCTTGAACATGGCCATTTAGAAGGCCAGTTGCTGAGCGTCCAACTGGGCTAGCATTACGAAGTCCATCCACTTCGTCTTCCACATTCTCCAGTTGTCGGGCAGCTAGCTTTTTGTCAACTGCAACGAGCTTGGCGATGGAATCACAGGTTGTCCACCAAGAGCATGCGGGGTTCGATGTGTCAGCTTCTCCTCTGTCGTCATGTCGATATAGTCCTCCGAAAATCAAAACGAAAGATGGACAGCGATCCGAAAATCGGTACTTAAAGAACAGAGTCATTTTCTACTGCACAAATTTGTACCACTATTTTACTGAAGCGCATTTTCAAGAACCGATTTTTGCTAGTTATCTACCTGAGATCTTTTCGTTCGCGGCCAGTGATAGTTCGCAGCTCTTTGGACCGCTCATATATCGACTGGAACAAAGTTGCGCTTAATTCACAATAGTTCAAACCAATCCGAGGCTGTTCATCCGGTCTGTGCGCATGTGGTCAGATTGCGCCGGTGGCGTTGATTGGGTCTCAACCTGCAGGATCCATCTGTTCCCCTGACACTGCACTGTGTGCCCTCTGCTCAGGCCAGTGTGACGAGCAGGCAACTCGTTTGCCTTTGTCCGCGACCGGAAGCGTGCTGGACTCACAACACTGCAAATCAATTCCTCACTGTTCATCTGGCGTATGTAAGCGTGATCAACCTATGCCGGCCGCACTGATTGGCTTCCAGTCCACTGGGTAGCGCGTCGGTTTCGCTTGCGTAACTTGCCAGCTATTTTCACGAGGAGCATCACGGATTCCGCAAGAGCGCCTTTCCAAGAGTACAGCACCTTGATGCCTGAAGTCTGAGGTCCCACAAGTGATGGAGTTCACGATAACATGTAGGTGTTAGAGTAACGACACAAGTACAACAGGCCGACTAGGGCTGGGTTTCTTGCTTTCAAGAGCACATTCGACCCAGCTAGTAGCCCCATCCTAGTTGACGACCTCGCTTGGAAAGGTGTTACTGTGGTCTCACATGTCACGTCAGAGTCTAGGACAAACTGTCGGATGCGGTGCCAACATGTGACGTTCCTCAGGGTTATTCCAACTTATTGTGGAGAAGTAGGTAGCCATTAAAAAACCGCAGAAGAGCGGGTTAACTACAAATAACGGAGAGGCCGATGGATGTGCACAAATCACCCGGTGTCGATGGCAACCACTTAAATGCGGACACACAACTTATCGCCTAGTCAAAGACCCTGAGCTACTAGGGAGCAGGTAAAGGTAACTTTGAGAATCAGCGTAAAGGAGTTGATGGAGACAATCAAGTGTTCGAAAATAACCCGGTGCTAATGTTTGACTCATTGAGCCGAGCAGACGTTTGTTCCAAAGAGCACACAAAATAGTAAACTCCAGTACTGTAATACATTTACGGCGTCGATATGTGAAATACGAATGCCTACCTGAAGCAGTGTGAAGCTTGAAATTCGTAGAAACCTTGTGCTCGCCACCAGGGCGTTCAGGCAATCGACGAGGGGCAGTTAACCGAGAAACAGGCTTTAACAAATTTCGTGGAGGTGGGTTCTTGCCAGTTGAGCGTTTCTCCATTTCACATTTTTTCTTGATTCTGGCTTGCAACGTTGCTTTTTCATTGGAATTCTTCGGCTTTTTCATATGCCTGACAACAGTTTGGGATGTAGCTGTAGCTTCCAATTCGGAGACAGAGGTGATACTATCACCCCCCTGGGATTCGCTCATGGATTCACCGGAATCGGCCCGAACGGCTACGAAGATTAATTAAGAAATGAGACGTAGAAGACAGCGTCGGCGTTGGCTGAGATGGTCAACAAATTCGCTTCCTGGACACATGCATTTGCTAAATAAGTACAAGATAAACACCGGTGGCAAAAACGAGCGGACGAAAACAAGTCATTTCGGCGGGTGAGTTAGTCAAATTTCAGTTGTCTAGGATGGCGAGATCACGCAGTGAAAAATTAAAGGGAAATATTAGGGCAGAACAGAGCGAGGTGAAGTGGCAAAAGGCTGAAAAGGCGTAAACGCGATTACTTGGCACTCTGTGGAGAAAATCGAAATTCTGACAAGTCATAATAGCACTAGGATAAAAACAGAAAAGCGCATCGATCGAGATGGAATAAAAGAACTCGCCAGGAAGTTCTTCCTAATGATGCATAGTGTGAACAGCATTTATTCTACCATGTGAGTAAAATGTGAAAAGATTGAGAGGAGGAAAAACATAATTCGTATTTCGAAACGAACAAGCGAAGAATGTCAGGCAAAGGGTAAGACGTAGTTCCCCATACAAAGCTCCAGGCTACAGTACTGGATGACTTGATGCCGCAGTAAATGTCAAGTGGAATTTACTGTCCCCATGGACCTGCGGCACAGTAGCTGAGGTGGACCACATGGACCACAAAAACTCGAGAAAACTGTGGTAGCTAGGATCTAGTAGATGGGCTGCCTCTAGGTTCCCAATTGGATAAACGGCCAACACATTAAAGGACGCGGGTGGGGGTTGACTCGGGTTAGCTGCTTAAAAACCATCCATGGCTTGGAATACGGTGGGACCTTAGCAACGGTTCACATTTTCAAAATAGGCGGGATAAAATGAATAGGCAGCAAAATAGAGAAAACATGAAATGAGCAGCAAAATAGAGAAAAAGAAAACGATCAAGTCATGGAGAATAAGCGAGAACATAAAAAACGATGAGATTAAGAGCGGGAGAATGGATGACAACTCAGTTGAATTAGTCAACAACACCAACGAATTCGCAAGCCCCGCATGTGACGGGTTTCTACACATTGGGGTAACCAATACCAAAGACCACACCCGGAGAGACGACGCGCACTAACCCAACTCAGTTTTCTTCCGGCACCCGTCCAAATAGACGCAGTACTGTCAGACACTAGACATCGAGATAAGTGCTTAGAAGACATGCCAAAAATATGACCCTGTCAGTGTAACCAGTTCGAGCTCAACAGGTACCCCAGTTTAGTGTCAGAGTGTGGTGGAGAAACACCAAGTGGGGAGAGTTAAGAAATGCTCACTGTGATCCCATCAAACACGGATGATAATGAGCAAGTGCCGGCGGTAAAAGGAGACTGGCATTGTATCCACGGTGACAGTCATGCCACTGACCCGTAAGATAACGCTGGGCACATCATAGTGTTGTACATTCTTCTCTTAGCGAATAAGTTATGCGACACCGGCAATGCTTCACAGGCAACGATGATCAAAGGGATGACAGTACTTCAGACCGAGGGGGATAAGTATCATTACCATAAAGAATAACAGTCCTCACTACGGCAGTGGACACGAAGCATTTCAGCTCGAGGGAAATCCCCCTGTGGCGCCACAGGTGTCCCAGATACAAGGATTAATTTCTGGATCTCGCACTATGGGAACTAATAAGAGTTATTCCGACAAACTGTGTGCATAGCCCAAGATGGCGGGGGGGGGCTTACAGCGAATTGACAAGGGAAGACAATGTCCCGGCAGAGTACCGAGACAGTATTCGGGAAAAAAGAAATATATAAACTGAGCGGAACCGCACACCAAGTTGGTCAGTAGGGAGAGACGAGGTTCTGTGCAAATAAGTGTCATACGCGCTGAATGTCCCGCGAATAGTGGAGACACTCAGATCCGACATGTTGAACCGTGTAAGACTCATGGACTTGAGATGCCTCACCATAGCAAGACAAATAGATCCGTGGTTGTTCAAGATCACGTGATTGTGGATACTGTTCGACACTTGCGTGAGGTGTGACTCTACATATTTGGAGATCGTCTCTGTATGCGGACCGACACCATACTTGCATATTTCCATGCGATTTGAGTCACGGATAGCAACGTCCACAACATCTGCGGTAGTCTTCACAGCGAGCAGACCGGGTTTGATAAACGAGCCCATAGTGGGAATCCTGGGTCTGGTGTAACCTTATGGCAGAGTATACTGTTTCGCGATGTCGTTACGTCTTTTACAGCAAGCATCGTGTGTGACTGCACACGACTGAAGGACGTGAGAGCGTTACCTTCTAGCCACAAGCTCCACAGCAATAAAATGAAGCATGTTGGGGAGGTGGTCTGTTACTAGCTCTGCGTGCTTTCGTTGACGGGACCCCCACCTGCAGCTGCATCCCTCCTACGAATGTAGGAAAGTAGATATTGGCGGGTTGTCTGAGCCATCGTTGTGCAGTTGTAACGTCCCTGAGAGGGGAGCCATAGACAGAGGATAAAAACGGCGTTCTACAAGCCACAGTTACAGAGCATTGTCGAGCACTGGTTCTCCGCATACAAAGACGGGAGCCGTGGAAATGCGACGGATAAAGGCTACGGAGGGATCACGGATGGAAGTTTGACAGATGACGCTACAGGCGAGATTTCCTAAAAAGTGGATCATAATAGACAAATATGGTATACCGAGGCCAACGGCTTCGATAAAAGAGTGAATGTAGGCAACCAGGGTCTGCTTGAGCAGCCACAGCCACTTGTGTACATGGGAGCGAGCTAATTTATCCATATTCCCCTAAGGTATAGCGAAGTACTACTGAGTGAGGTTGTGAATATGACGGCGTGGACAGAGATAGTATCCCGAGGCCAGTCTTGGGTAGAAAACCAGTGTATCATTGCGTAATTGCAGCTATCTGCGTACATGGGAGGGAGATAATTTATCCATATTCTCCTAAGGCATAGCGATGTACTGCCGCCAGAGTGAGACTATGAATGTGACGGGGTAGCAACAATCTGCGAAGTGTTTCTAATTGCTGGTATGGTTCCAGGGAAGTTGAGAGCGTATTTGTTCCAGGTATGCAGGTGTAACTCACCTCTCCATTTGAAAAGGCCGAGGTAATGAAACGATTCGTCCCTTTGAAGTGATGATCGAGGAACACGAGAGTGGAGATGTGTCCAAGGTTTGCACGATCGACGAAGATGTTGAGTGTATTCTACTTCAGTTGGCTAATTGATAAGTCAATGAGAAGAAAGTATTCACTAAGTGTTTTGAGACGATCCACGAAGGTCGCTCGGTTCCGGGCAAAGATAATCGCATCATCAGCATAAGAGACATAGTCTATAGGGCCAGCAGGGCAAAACCACAGAGATAATACAGGCTTATGACGGGACTCGTCCGAAGTCGTAATGAACAGAAATAGGGAAAGTGAGTTACTTTTCCAAACATCCTTCCGCGGATGAACGGTGATCCCGTTGAAAGCGGAAACAGCGAAGAAAAATAATGCAGTGGAGATGATGAAGAGGCAAAAGAGGATGCCGCTCAGAGTTAAGAATCGCTGGATGCGAAAGGCAATAGTGCAAAATTCACATAAGAACAAAGCACTTCACGTAGAACAGTTGGGGCTTCGAGACAACTATCATTGTGAAAAAAACCAGACTGAAAACGTTCCGCCGGAAAAGACGGAGAATGCTGCGAGGTAGGTGGGTGAACACAGATATCAGAGAAATGGGTCAGAAGTGTTCGGGTTGGAAATCTTGAATACGAAGGTAATCCGGGCAGCGTTCATGTGGGTCGGGTAGAAGAAAAGTGTAAGAAGACAATTTAAAAGGGAAGTGATAAAAACGTCTACGTCTTTCGAAGGAATGCGATGGACACCGCATGCAGCTCTTGGCATAAGCCGAAGAGCAGAAAGCGTTTCCTCAGTGGACGCCGATTACACCAACTAGATATTAAGATCCCGCAGCGGACGAGGATCACGGATGTATGACACAAGAGATTGAGAAAGAAAATACCACCAGCAGCCAGTAAATCAGGAATCTGCTCGTGCTCTAGCATGTAAACAGTCTGCCATCTCAACCGAAACAATGGTGGCGACATCAAGCCGTTGAAAATAGTATAAGCGCTGAATATGTCCTAACTGCTATCGGCGCGTTGGCGGTTAATCAAGGCGGCTTTAGGAGAAGAACGATGTTTGGAAAGCCTCCACGTATGCGGAAAAGGAAGATACAAATTGTATCTAATAGTCGATACGCAGTGCCGAGGCTTCGCTGTCGCGCAACCACCACCGGTCACAAGTGGGCTGAGGATACTACGAGGGTCGCCCTGCCCCTACGTAGACTCGAACCCGCGCCGTCAGATTACAAGACAAGCTCGTTACCTTTAGGCTACGAGCCGGAGCTCAAACAAAAGTTTCAGAAAAGAGTAGAAAGTACCAACGCCCCTACACTAGTCCATAACGCGGCGTCTTCTAACATAGACCAGAAGAGTGAATAAAATGGAAGGCGACCTAAACAATCTGTGTTATGCTGAATGGGATAAATGAGAAGACGATTTTGGGGAAGGCTACACTTGAAAGAAATAGTGCCCTGACTCATCCGGTACGCAAACTATGGGTCATTGTATCTGAGCGTCATGAACAGAAAAGCAGAAAGATTGCAGCGATGGGTTGTCAAGTGCCTTTTCAGACACGAAACATGTCCGAAATGAGCGCGGACATAATGTGCAGAAACGCAGTGGAGATGTGGTATAAGTGGAGTCCATAGGTTATGTCGACAAGATAGCGACGACACCCACTGTTGTGGAAAGTTGTTTGGTGGCAGTGATATCCGGAAACTCGGTGGTGTTGTATGGAGCAGTGGCAGGACAAGATGTTCGGATTGTTGACAATTTATTTGACGTGTTGGATTGGGGTGGTAGTGTAGGTTGTGGTGTAGAAGGGGAATAGACAGAGGCTGCACTGTTCAAAGACTATCAAAATACCAGCAGATCTACCGTCCTGTTAATGCAGGATGGGGGAAAACGGAAAACAGACCGAG